GGTCGAGGAGTACTCCTAAGCTGCAGACCTTATCCCTAAGAGGGAGTGTTGCACCATTCAGGACCAGGTCAAATCCACCCTCTCCGAAACCCGATCCGCCAACCAACAGGACCTCCGTCTTGTCTGGGTTGAGTTTCAGTTTACACTGGAGCATGGATCAGTTCGTTGATGACAAGCAGCTACCTCCCAGCCTTCAGAAGAGTGGCCTTGATTGCCCTGCCCTTGACACTTCAGCCCAGCCCCAGGACTATGGTGAGACAGATACAGTGTCTCCTTGGGCACATGGCAGCAATGGTCGCAGTCATCCTGTTTGCCAGGCTTTGGATGGATGTGCTCCAGCTATGGTTCATACACACCTACTGACCACAGCATTATTTAGATCAGAAGTACCTCACCATCCTGTCTGGTTAGCACACTGACTCAGCCTAGCAGGAGTCACCTTCATGCCACTGGAGCCAGACATTACACAGTGGCACCACGGTATATGGGCTGTTCTGGACAGGAAAAAGCACATAAATTACCTTGAGCTCCTTGCTGTGCAGAAACCTCTGGCTGCTTTCCAACCCAGCCTTCAGACCAAGTTCTCTGGACTGCCACGGACAACACTGCTGTGGTGTGCTACCTGAACAAGCAAGGAGGCACTAGGTCTCTCAATTTTATCCCTACAACAACAACTCTTGGGCTGAGAGTCTGTGACTGGCCCAGTGTCGCCCAGTGGGCCCCATGTCTGAGCGGAGACTAGAACCCAGTTTGCCTGAGTCCTGGTCATGCACTCTTAACAACTACACCACACTGGCTCTCAGTGTTAGAACAGAATACTGGCAAACAGTTATCGAGAAGGTGTGGGCTGGTTCAGCCCAGGTGGTGTCCTTTTCTAACCTTCTAGTGTTTCCCAGCCACCTACATACCCTTTCCTGGGTGCTGTCATTTCCCCACTGTCTAAAAGATTGAAATCTCTCTCCCAAGGCTGAGTTGCTAGCAGTGCAAGGTTTGCACAGAAGCCCCACCCTACCTACACTTACCTTCAGCCCCACTCATAACTGGGATGTTGCCCCTGAGAACTTCTCCCAAATAGAATTTGGCCCTTGGGTTGAAAGCAGCTCACTCCTTAACATCAGGTTCTGCAAGAAAGGTGGAAAGTCAGTCTGCCTGAGAGCAAAACTGACATTTTCCATATCTGGTTATGCTTTTTGGTTTTACATATGCGTTTGGAGACTGCATTTTTAGAGCTATTTAGTTGTAGATCCTACATGTCAGACCAACTTCAATATGCAGACCAGCAAATGATAGTGAGTTATGTTTGAGCTTCTTATCAGCCAAATTCAGCAGGATTGAGGTCCAGAATGCTAGAGTCCAGAGTGGTGCAAAATTACAGGTGCACACTAGCCATACCGGGACAGTAGCACCTGGGTTACATTGCTGCGGAAAGCAAAAAAGCTGGCTTCTTCTCCTGTCTGGCTACTAGACAATCTTACTGATTTCTGCATCTTGCAAAAGATGTTGCCATGGAATACAGGATAATTTCAGCTCTGCATCCCCGTTAGTTTGTGTGTGCAATCAGTGGCTCTTGCATCTGGTCAGCTGTAGTTCATCAACTTAGCTTCATCCATTGTACTTCCTAGCTGTTCCCCCAAGATCCACATGCCTGATATGCTTTATATGTTGACGTGCCTAACAGATGAAGTTACTTGCTCTTCCAAGAAAATAATGCATTGCTCTGACCCTGCATGTCTCTTGGCTATCCTATCATGATGCCCACATAGAATTTCTACTGCCCTGATCTTGTAAATGGACCAAATACTTAGGAAACATACTGGAATGTGTCCAGAAACCAGTTGTTGCCTAGGAGTGCTCATTACTTAATTTCTAAAAGTTAGTGGTCTCATGGCTTAGAGTCATCTAAATGCAAACCTCCACAAACTACAGTGGTACCTCGGCTCCCAAATGCCTCAGTTCATGACCAAATTGGGTCAGAAAATTTCCTCAGGTCGCGAACTTCACATCGGGTGACGATCATGATCGCGCCCATCTTCCCTGCACAAGTGCGATCACAATTATGCTTAAGGGGGAAGAAGGCTGCGATTGTGCTTGCGGGGTGGGGGAGATGGCCGCGATTACGCCCGTCTATGGCCGCGCTTGCACTCATGCAGGGAAGACGGGCGTGATCATGGTCGTGCTTGGGGGGGGGGGGAGCGGGGATGGCCACAATTGCACCCGTCTTCCTTGCATGAGCGCTGTCGCGATTGCACCCATCTCCCCCTGGAGCATGCTCGTGATCGCGCCCATCTCTCCACCGAGTGCACCCATGATCACGCCCGTCTTCCCCCAAAGCACGCCCGCAATCACGCCTATCTCTCCCCCCCCCCCGAGCGGGTTTGTGATCATGCCCATCTTCCCTGTGATTAAAGAAAAATAATAATAATGCAGAACAGATTAACCTTATTTACATTGAACGTCATGGGGAAATTTGACTTGTCTCACGACCAATTTGGGTCATGACCAGAGTCCTGGAATGGATTAAGTTTGTGAGCCAAGGTACCACTGTATATGACTGCCCCCTTAACACCAGATGTACAGGTCATGGCAATGAAAAATGCACACTCACTGGTGGGGGTAAAGGAACTCTGCACATATAAAGACACTGCATCTTATTATGCACAGAATCTTATGCATCTTATTATGGAGAAAGCTAGGGAGTTCCAGAAAAAACATCTACTTCTGCTTCATTGACTACGCTAAAGCTTTTGATTGTGTGGATCACAACAAATTGTGGCAAGTTCTTAAAGAGATGAGAGTACCAGACTATCTTATTTATCTCTTGAGAAACCTATATGCGAGTCAAGAAGCAACAGTGAGAACTGGACATGGAACCACTGATTGGTTCAAAATTGAGAAAGGAGTTCGGCAAGGCTGTATACAGTCACCCAGTCTATTTAACTTATATGCAGAGCACATCATGAGAAAGCAGGGCTGGATGAATCACCAGTTGGAATTAAGATTGCTGGGAGAAATATCAACAACCTCAGATATGCAGATGATACCACTCTTATGGCAGAAAGTGAAGAGGAACTAAAGAGCCTCTTGATGTGGGTGAAGGAGGAAAGTGCAAAAGTTGGCCTGAAACTCAACATTAAGAAAACTAAGATCATGGCATCCAGTCCTCTCACTTCCTGGCAAATAGATGGGGAAGAAATGGAGGTAGTGACAGATTTTATTTTCCTGGGCTC